GAGGGGGGGGGGCTTGGTTGGTTGGGGTCCTTGGGGGTGGTGCAGGGGTGTTGTGAGGGGTGGTAGGGGGGTGTCTATGGGTGCGTGGGTCCAATTTTGGGTGGGTCAATGGAGGTTTAATAGGGTTTTCAGGCAACGATCGGGCAACAAAAAACACCGGTAGTTACAAGTATTAGAGTGTTAGTGCATTGGATCGTGCAACGCATGAACAACATCAGACCATGCATCAAATGTATGGCACATGACGTTCGACGGGTCTATTAACAACAGGATCACATCAACACATAATGTCACAGAGCAATGTCACCCACCATACTTGAGCATGTTCAGGTACATCGCGGAAGAGTGTTTCATAAGCACATAGAAAGAAAGATGAGTGAATGAAGACAAAACAACCAAGTGGCACGGTAAGGCCAGCGTGTGGCGATGTACCAAAAATACCAAGTGTCATCAGTACAGATAACATGACAACCCCACCTCGAAATGCGTCCACCAAATGAAACAACTACGTGAGTGAGCCCATATGGACAAAAACCTGCTAACAGTACAAAACCCAGATAAAATACAACATACCCACTCGACCTGCACCGAGTGGCAGGTTCGTGGCGTATCAGCTGCGGGCAAGTCAAGACAAAAAAAAGCCCCTAAAGACTAGAGTGGCAACGTGAGATAAAATAACAGAAGACAAAAAAAAAAAACAAAGGTGACGTCATCTAACTCTCCCGACCTACTCCACGTGGACAAAGACCTGCTGACAGTACAAAACCGTGATAAAATACAACATACCTACAACACACCTACGCCACGTCGCCACCTACAACGGACAACTTGAAGGTCGTGGCATACCAACTATATATAAAATAAACTAAAAAAATGGCATATCTAACTCCTCCCACTGCGCCTCCGACCTGTCCCGTGACGAGGTGTGCCAGATCTGCTCGCGGGAGGTGCACTATGTCCCCGCCCATGTGCCGCTCTCTCTGCGTGTGGGGTCTCAGTATGCGGATCCCCTGCTGCGGCAGTCGCTGCTCTCCTGACTTTGTCCCTCCTCGCAATGTCGATGGGCTTTTTCTCCGTATCCGCCTCGTCCCCGTGTGCCTCCGTCTCAGACAACGTATCACGCTCTCGAACCAACTCGTTCAAATGCTGTTGCTCGGCAGCTCTCGAACCATCTTGTCCAAATGTATGAGGATCTATGACATCGCGCCCCTGCTGACATATATATATCGCCCTCCTCGGCTGACGTGTAAGGCCATCCTCGCAGTATATCCTCAACAGCACCTGGGGTCGGGAACACCTGCCTCCTTGTTTGTCTATTCGACGGTCCCGAGATACGTGTTGCTATATGCACACTGGGTCGTCCCATGTCTGCAGGCCCGCATCCCCCACATTTGGCCCCGCTGACTCTCCTTGTGCAAAAAGCCGCTGTCCCCTGTCGTAATCCCTCCTCAAACGGTCCGTGACTCGTCTGCAAGACGACCACCCGCCGCCTGATGCCCCTCGACTGCCGGATGCCACTGTACTCACTGCTCTGCCTGATGCGGCTGCCAGCAGTGGACGTGGTGGGTGCATCTCTCTCTCTCTCTCCCCCCCCAGAAACAACTGCTGGTTGTCTGTCTGAGGCCTCATCCCCCCTGACATCGCTGCGTGACGACCCTGACCATCGAGGGCTCTGGGGCACCCTATGTGTCCCCCTAGGCCGCGACCGCCTCCGACTCAGCTGCGACCGAGGAGGTCGGCCGTGGGCCCACGGCCTAGGCCGCGCGGCCGAGTTTTTTTGCAGCCGCACCACAGCCAGGTGGTGGCGCGCGCGGGAAAACGGCACGTGCGCGTGGCCTGCGCATGTCCGCCGCTGTCAGGCTGTGCAAAAAAAAAAAAAAATCAGAAATTTGGGGGGGGGGGGGGTTATTTGTGACAAAAAAAAATAAAAAAATAGAAGAAAAAAATCATTGATTGATGGTTTTTTTATTGATTGATTGATTGATTGATTGATTGATGGGTTGATTGATGGGTTGATTGATTGATTGGTGGGGGAGGGGTCCTCCCTCCCCTCCCCGTCACAGGCGCGCACACACACACACACACACACATACACACACACACACACACACACAAACACACACACGCACACACACACACACACATATACTTACACACACATGCGCACAAACACACATCACACACACACACACACACACACAC